CACCCGCACCATGCGGAGATAACTGCAGCAACGGGAGCTAGGCTACGGGCTAGGCACGTGTGCTCGTGTGATCTCTGCGTTCTCTGTTCCTTAGTCGTTTTCCTTGTACGCACACTACTTGCTAGTTCACGGGGAAAATTGGCAAGAGTTTCACTAGGAAAAGTTCAGAACAATGGGTACAATGAAGTTGGCAATGCAAGACTACATAAGAGCAAGCATTCCGGTCGGCCAACTGCCAGCGCAGCTTGGTCGACCGCGTTCCAGCACGACTTCGTCGACCACGCTCCAGCAAGGCAAGGTCGACGGCATGCCAACGTCGCAGGTTGACGGCGTGACAGCGTTGCTCACGCAGGACAGCAGTGCACCCTGCTTCGCAGTTGTGCGCAGATGATTGGCGCGCAGAGTCTGGTCACCTGCACAGCGCACACACCACGTCAACCTCGAGCTGACGACTGCCTCTGATCCGCCACGACGACCTCGGGATACCACCACCGAGGTCAGGCTCGCCAACTTCGCCTGGGCGACCGTCGCACTCCTCCGCAGCACTTCGTCACCCAGGTAACCTGGTCGACCAGGCAACCACGTCGACCAGCAGCTCCCGTACGTGCCCGTCGACCTCCCAAGTCGACAACCACCTCCACGTCGACCTCACCAGGTCGACGACACCATCGGTCGACCTCCTCCAGGTCGACATCCCCTCTGGTCGACCAGCTCCACGTCGACCAGCACTCCTGGTCGACCTGCTCCTCGTCGACCAGCACAGTCGTCGGCCGACCACCCACGTCGGCCACCGGAAGCTGGTGTCACGAAGTTGACGCCCCGCTACTCGACGCCCAACTGCTCGGCGTCCTGAGTCGAGGTCGACGTCGGCCCCTACTTCGTCGACCACCAGGTCCAGTCGACCACTAACAGGTCGACCAGCAGTCCGTTAGCCGACTGCCGAAGTCGGTTTCCCCAAGTTGACGTCACCAAGTTGACGTCCTCCGCAGGTCGACACCCAAGTCGACCTCCCTGAAGTCGGCGCCACCCTGAAGTCGGCGCCCGTGCAGTGGTCCCCCGTGCAGGTCGACCTCCTCGTCGACCAGCTCACCCACTGCTACAGGTCGGCTGCTCCCCTCACACCCGACCACGAAGTCGGCTCCGCCCAAGCGAGGACGGGGCCAATACACAACTCCCGTTGACAGGTCTCTGGCAAGGAGACCCGGGGCTGAAGGTTGAGCTGATGCGCGGCGTACTGAACCGCAAACGGCCACAGAAAATGGGGGGCAGCCGCATGCATCATGGACGTACGAGCGACGTCCATGACCATGCCAATGCGGCGCTCAGCAATCCCATTTTGCTGTGGAGACGCCAGAAGCGTAAAGGTCTGGCAGATGCCCTGTGCTCAACAGAAGGCTCCCAGACGGGCAGAGGAAAACTCCCCTCCTCTGTCCGAGTGCAGACGCAAAACAGGAAAGTCCGAGCCGAAACTCTCTCTGAGCTGGAGACGAGCTGCGCGGATCCAGTCGATCAACACCTCAGTGATGTCACCCTTGCTGCGCAAGGGGAAGACTGTGGTGTAACGCGAGTAGTCGTCAACGACCAGCAGAAAGTACCGCTCTCTCCCCTGCCCACTGACGCGAGCTGGGCCCCACACGTCCATGTGTAGAGTCTGCAGCGGAGCCTCTGTCGGAGGAAACTCGGAGGAGTGAGGGGTGGCACGCTGTCGCCCCTCGACGCAGGGGACGCAGGTAGGGCCAGGCCCCGGAGGAAGGGGAGGGAGAGACCGAGGAAGACCAGAGACAAGGACACGGGAGGCCATGCCTCGGAGACGAGGCAAGGAGGGGTGACCAAGGCGGTGGTGCCTAAGGAGAGTCTGGTGGGACAGCAGACGACACGAGCAGGGGGCAGACTCAGGACCAGACCTGGACGCCGCAGCAAGCACCTGACTCGACGTAGCTACCTGGGCAGACTCAGCAGTAGGAGGAGACTCAGCAGTAAGGGTGTACAGGCTCGACCCTGGCCGACGGGTGAACGTGGCCAAGTGTCGGCCTGTCCGAGCACACCTGCAGTGGGTCACTCGCTGACTCGCAGGAGTGAACTGGTCAACCCCTCGATCCTGTAGGTCCGCTCCACTCACCAAGTTCGTAGAGAACGAGGGGAGGTAGAGACCAGACAGGGTGCCAGAGGGGGCTGCCGGGCACGGAAGGACAGTGGAGAAGCTAGCAAGGACAGGACCCCCAGAGGGGTCTGCTAGGGAGACTGCAACCGGCCGACTAAGCGGCGTAAGAGTGGTGCGGTCTCGAAAGAAGGAGCGGGACGCACCCGAGTGCAGGGTGAAGGTGTGGAAGGCCTGAGCCGATGTAGTACCTGAGAGAGCAGACTCACCAACACCTGGGGCGGCAGACGCACTGGCACCTAGGGCAGAAGACGCACTAGCACCTAGAGCAGCAGTCTCACTAGCACCTAGCGCAGCAGCCTCAATGCCCGGGTCACGCGGTACACACAGGTAACAGGCACCCTCAACACTATCAGCAACAACATACATGGCAGCAAGAATAGCATCAAAGTCAAGATCAAAGATAGCAACCCCGGCCTTAGCCAGATCTCCCCAGCGAGGGATCTCTGACGCCTCACGGAACAAGCAACGCCACGCGTCCGTCAGGCGACCAAAGCAGCGCTGGGTGGAGTGCGGACCCCCGCACTGCTCACCAGTGCGGTCGCCGGTACGGAGACCGTAAGAGCAGGGACCAAAACCCCCACCGCGCTGGCGTGCAGTGTACCACTCACGAAGCTGCTGAGGGGACAGGGTCACACCACTCCGCTGCTGCTGCTGGCGCTGACCACCACTTGCGCCACTCCACGACGCAGAGTCGCGACTCGCTCCACCACCGCCGCCTCCGCCGCCGCCGCCGCCTCCGCCGCCTCCGCCGCCTCCTCCACCTTCGCCTCCTCCACTACCTCCGCCGCCTCCGCTCCCTCCGCCACCTCCACCGCCTCCGCCGCCTCCACTGCTGCCGCCGCCGCCACCACCCCCAGCACCACTCCCACCACCACCCCTACTCCCTCCACCGCCTCCACCACCACCTCCACCGCCCCCTCCACCTCCTCCAGTGCCCTTGCCCCCCTTGCCCTTGCCGGTGCGGCGTCTCCCGCTCGGGGCAGACGCAGCGCCGACCGACTTGAAACCAACGAGGTCGGCCGCAGCAGCAGAGGCAACAGAGGGCAAGAGGGGGGAGGGAGAACACCCCTCAAAGACGGGGGTGCGAGGGTCACCACGAGAGGCTCCTACAGCAACTATGCTCTTCTCTATCGCTAGGAGGGCCTTCCCGAGGAGGTCAACGGTGAGAGTGGTGGGGCAAACAGAGAGGAAGTGGTCCCTGACTACACGGAGAGAGTCAGGGAGACGGGTGACTATGTAGTAGAGGGTGATGTACATGGGGGGGGGTTCTTGGCGCAGAACTCAGCAGGAAGCGCAGCGCGGTAGCGATTGTCACTAGTGCGGAGGTGCGTAATGAGGTCAGCAACAGTGGGAAAGGCAGCAAGGTCAGGGAAGAGGTACGGTAGCATGAGGCGGCTCAGTGCAGCAGTGGCAGGGGAAGAGTAGCGTGCAACTACAGCGTCGTACAAGGTCTGAGCACTCTTGTACTGGCTAAAGTGTGCACGCTCAGTGGTCGGTAAGTGGCGGCGCACAGCAAGGCGAGCAGTAGCGTCATGTGTGGCCCACTGTGAGCGAACAGTGGCATCAGCATCAGCAGCAGGGGCAGGGGAGGCACCAGAAGTGAGGTCAAACAGGGAGAGGCCGTCTGCCCTATCGCAATGCAGGAAAAGCTGCAGATCATCTACCCAGACCTCAAAGTCCACTGCCCGACCCTCAGCGTCAAAGGTGAGAACGCTAGGGGAAGCCATAACAACAGGAGGCAGGGCAGTGCAGTGGTAGAGACTGTGCTCTTACCAGGTAGGTGGAGCGATCGAGTTGCTCGGCGGCTCGGCTGTCGGGCGACTCGGTTGCAGGGCGGCTCGGCTGCTAGGCGGCTCGGCTGCTGGTGCGGGGCGGCTCGGCTGTCGGGCGGCTCGGCTGCTGGACGGCTCGGCTGCTGGGCGGCTCGGCTGTCGGGCGGCTCGGCTGCTGGGCGGCTCGGGAGGTTGGGCGGCTCAGGTGGCCGGCGGTTCGGCTGCTCGGCGTTGCGAGCGCTAGGAGGCGGGGTCGCAGGTGGTGGCGAGGTCGCAGGTGGCGGCGGGCCGCAAGGGTGGGCGGGGCCGCGGTGGCGACGGGGCCGAAGTGGGGCCTAAGTGGGGCCGTAGAGAGGCCGACGGGGCCGAAGTGGGGCCGTAACGGGGCCGCAGCGGGGCCTAAGCGGGGCCGAAGCGGGGCCGTAGGGGGGCCGTAGCGGGGCCGTAGCGGGGCCGTAGTGGGGCCGTAGCGGGGCCGACGGGGCCGACGGGGCCGTAGCGGGGCCGTAGCGGGGCCCTAAGCGGGGCCGACGGGGCCGTAGTGGGGCCGTAGCGGGGCCGTAGCGGGGCCTAAGCGGGGCCGACGGGGCCGTAGCGGGGCCGTAGCGGGGCCGTAGCGGGGCCTAAGCGGGGCCGTAGCGGGGCCGACGGGGCCTAAGCGGGGCCGTAGTGGGGCCGACGAGGCCGACGGGGCCGTAGCGGGGCCGTAGCGGGGCCGTAGCGGGGCCGTAGCGGGGCCTAAGCGGGGCCGTAGCGGGGCCGACGGGGCCCTAAGCGGGGCCGTAGCGGGGCCGACGGGGCTGTAGCGGGGCCGACGGGGCCTAAGCGGGGCCGTAGCGGGTGGCTCGAGGGGCAGTAAGGGCGGCCAATAGGGGCCACTAAGGCGGCTCGAGGCGCTACTCGGGTTAGGAGCTAAGCGCGCTCCGGGCAGGGAAAAAAAAGTTCGTGGTGGGCCCTAGGCAGTATTCCCACTCAGGAACCTGCTCGATTCCATGACGAGAAGTGAGAATGGAAATGAATGAACTATGAAACAGTTGGGTACAAGTACTAAACCTAATTGGGTTGTACCCCTTATGGACTACCCCACTACAGCCTACACAAATGTATAAGCTATAATGTTCTGACATTGCATTCCGGTGACGGTGCTGTCGTGGCGATGCTGCGGCACGACCTCCTGCACGTCATCGTCACCACTCTCTGGTTCAGGTGGGGCTAGTGGTGCTGCGCCTCTACCGCTTCCGCTCCCTCCAGTTGTGCCTCCTGCTGCGCCTTCGGACGAGTTGTCGCGGCGATCTCCTCGCGTGAATTTGCCTCTTGGGTCTTGCTCCAGGATGGCCGCAGCAGCTTCGTCTTCTAGCGTGGCGTAGCTGTGCCCCTCGTTGGCGTAAACGAGGTTCGCATTTGTCTGCTCATCTTCACGGAAATGCTGAAGAAATAGGCGCTCGTAGAAGATGACGTCGCACGCATTTTTTATCTTCTGGCTCAAGAGGTCCAGGATGATCCAGGCCTTGTATTCGTGGCTGATGCCGAGGTGGATTCCCCAGCGCGCGCGGCTCCTGAATTCGCCGATTGTTGAGGTCGGCGGTCGGTACTGCACGATGCACCCCCACACGCGGAGCATGGAGGTGTCGCCCTTGGTCCCCGTCCACTTCACATGTGGGGAGAGGTTGCCGGCGATTGCGGTAGTTGACAGCAGGTTGTGCACCCGCACGGCGTGGTGCATCGCGTAGGTCCAGTAGATCGGCGGAAGCTTCGACTGCTTCATCAGCGCGCGCACCTTCGTCATCAGTGTGCGGTTGGTACACTAGGCTACACCCTGCTGCTGATGTGCGTAGGGGAGAGAGATGTGGTGTTCGATCCCCTTTTGCGCGAGATAATCCTGCAGTTCCTTGCTCCTGAATTCTGCTGCGCCGTCAGATTGCGAGATCTTAAATTTCTCCCCAGATTGCCGCTGCGCGTGCGCCAGCCACATACGGAATGCTTCGTAAGCTCTGCTGCGCGCTTCCACGTTTACTACCCATACGTAGCGTGTCCCCGCGTCGATGAAGGTGAACGTATATAGCTCGTCGTCGACGCCGCAGTGTCCCACGTTAAGAAAAACGCTATATACTTTCTCCAGTTTGGCATAGCGATTGGTGCCTAGGTTGAGGAAGGGGAACGGTCGGTGGCTCAGCGCGGCTTCGGGGCAGACGGTGCAGTTGCGTGGGTGTGTTTCGCCTCGTACTTTGGTGCCGTCAGGGCGCAGAAGGGCGCTAGGCGCAAATACGCCAGCTTCGATGCAGTTCTTTAGGGTCGTGCGGGAGGGGTGACCTAGGCACTGGTGCCAGATGGCGTCATTAGCGCGAAATCCGGAGGTGCGCATGTAGCACGCGAGTGCTGCTGCGGGATCTTCGTCAGGAACTTGAGTAGGTCCCGCCGCTGCTTCTTCGCGTTCTTCGCCTTCTTCGTTCGAAGTCGTCAGCATCAAGGCGAGAAATTCTCTGTCGCGAATGATGGAGTAGGGGATGTTGGTCCCGGGGATGGTGCCGAGAACGTATGTTGGTTCGCGTGGCTCAGGGGCAGGTCCATAGACAGTGCGGCGTGGAGTGGATTGTTCGTTGCCCCAGTCAATGGTATCCCAAGGATCGCGCTCCGGCTGGAGATCAGGTGGAGGTAAGGCAGGTGCAGAGTGGCGCGGTGGGCGACCAAGAGGAACAGTCACAGGTGCTGCTGCTTCTTCTGCTACTTCTTCCCCCCTTTGGTCCTCGCGGGAGGCTCCCTAGCCTTCGCCAGAAGTGCCCCAGCCGCCTGTCTTGCCGCCGAATGCGGCGCCCCATCCGCTGGCGTTTTCGCCAGTTGTTGCGCCCCAGCCGCCAGTGTGGCTTGTCCCCCGTCCGCCGGCGCTCCCCCACCCCCCTTCATTGGAGGCGCTTTCCTCTTCGGTTTCCCAGGCGAGCATTCCACGTGCCTCAGCGAGGCTTTTCTGGCGAAGCTCCTCAGCTTCGCGTCGTGCTAATATCTCTTCTTGCGCCACCAAGAGTTTCTTCTTTGAGTCGCGCCGATGAGAATATATCTCCGCCGCCTTTCCTTCAGTGTAGGGCCGTGGTGTACCGTGGGCGTCGAAGGTGCCGACGCTGACGCCACGAAGCATGCCTTGGAGGTGTTGAGATGCGGATCCGTGGAGGGGATGTTCTGGTGTGCCGAAGATGACCCGCGTAGTGGTCTCCAGCTCCAGTTGGGATAGTCCCTCCTCAGGCAACGCTTCCTCTCTGCCTCCGCGATGGCGGCGAGTCCTCGGCCGGCGATCGCGCTCGTAGAGGACGTGGGAGTGTGGCAGTCCCTGCAGACGCCGTCAGGATCGGGGTCATGCAGCGCCAGCTCGCGTGGATGTGGGTGATGTGGCACCCATGGGCGCCCATCTGGGTGCTTCCAGTCTCGGCGATGTATGTGCTCGAAGCACAAGGGGACAAGGTCAATCAGCTCCTGCGAATCACCGCTGCAGTCGGGAATATCGAAGTCGAGAAGATACACTCCGTTCTCGGCGTGTGCTTGTCCGATATGCTTGCGCATCTTGTTCGGCATCGTGAAGTAGAGCAGAATGTCGCGCGTCTCGGGGTCGGTGCTGAGAAGAACTCCGCAATCCATGAGTTGCGCCGCTGAGAGCAGGTTGAAGCGCACGTTCTGCACAATCAACATGTCATTCAAGGTGATGTGCGTTTCGCTCCCATGGGCTTTGAGCACGACGATGCCTTAGGTGACGGCGGGGGTGGCGTAGGTGACGGCGGGGGTGGCGACCGTGTTGGATATGTAACGCTCAGAGCCCACCATGTGCTGCCCACAGCAGCTATCCAGGTACCACGTGTTGTAGCGCTTGTTGTCGTTACGTGCGAGCAGCGCCAGTCGCGGGGTAACGATGTGTGGTGTGTCAACTTTGAGGAATTGTTCGCGTGCGATCCAGACGATCGGTGCCGGCCGCATATCAGGTACGTGCGGGGAGCTTTCAAGCAGCGGAACTGGAAGATTTTAGTCTTGTTTGTCGTCGTAGCTGAAGTCGTGACGCGTGCTGAACGAGTTGTTGTTCGAGAACGCTCCGATTGGGTGAAGTGCCAGCTCAGGTGATAGTGAGTGCGCGCACGAGCGACGTGATCCGCTTGTCATTGTCATGTTTCCCATGACATTGTGGACGGGGACAGTCTGTGACTGCTGCTTCTGCTGGTGCTGAACCGTTGGGTTCAGGTTGCGTGATGGGGGTTGATACCCCTGGGCGGGACGCGGATCGTTCCGTGCGTCTTGTCGTCTGGACTAGTTGCTCGGATTGGTCTGGCGAGGGCGAGATCGGGACTTGCATCGATCTGCCAAGTGCCCGAAGTCTCTGCAAATCTTGCAGTAGAGACGCCGCGGTCGTCGCTCTTCTGTGTTGTCGCTGTAGAAGGCGAGGCGTTCCCTGTCTCGTCGCGGTGCTGGTCGCTGCTGGTGGAGAAGTAGCAGCGCAAAGGGCGACCTCCGAGATGACCCCCTGCTGTTGGAGAAGCGCCTTGCAGGGCCGCCACTCTGGGCCGAGCCCTTGGAGCACGATGTTCACGAAGATCTCCTCAGAGATTGTGCTCCCTAGTTTCGCGTTTTGATCGCATAAGCTCCGACAGCAATTCAGATAGCTGTTGGCTTTCTTTCCTGGTGCCATTTTGGTCTCCAGTAGCTGCTGGAGCAGGCGGCTTGACGACACCGAATCCTTTGGTTGATACACACCGTTCAGGTGACGCCATGCGTTGAGGGCTAAAGCAGGCGATGTTTTGTATGAGCGAATGCTCAGTTG